TTGGTTTCAGTCCAGAACTAAGTGGATTTCAAACGCAGAGGAAGTACTTGCACTGAAGTAGTAAATTATAGAGGTTGTTTGCTGGGGACTTATCTCTTGCTCATGCTTTAATGTAGATTTCATCTGGGAAGTCCTTGTAGGTGCTGTAGAAGGGTGAGTTGCCCAGACAATTGCTTCTCATTCTGGCAAACTGCTCTTTCAGAGTCTTTGAAGTATTAGAATAACTGGTTTTCACAAGTCAACATAGTATCATTTTGGGGTTTGCACTCAATGTGTCTTTGGCAAAATTTGGCCACATACAGGTCATATCTGGAAACAATTAGGCCAGTTTATGTAGTTTTGTCCTGGTTATAATGATGATGTTAAGAGATAATGGGGGCTGAGGTCTTGTCCCAAAAGGTGCTGAAGACTGTTGCATTCACAATATCACAGCCCGATAAGGCTGTAAACTCTGTTCATTTTTGTCATCCCCTATTGCTGGATTGCAGATTACGTTTCCCCTCTTTCTTGACATTTATTTTTATATTCACGTCCAATATATAAGCCTTTCTTAAATTTATTGAATTTGAGTTTTTATTTTATTTCCATCATGAAAATTAAAAGATCCACTGAGTCCAGTCTTGGCTGCTGAGTAGTCAATATAGTGAACAGCAGTGACTGTTTAGTTAAGACCTGAAGATGAAGAATTTGGCAGAAGTATTAAGCATTATTATTACAAATTGTCAGTGCATACTTTTCCAAAGCATGTTTAATTGTATGGAATCACAGTTGTTTTCTCCAAGACATTTCGCCTGAATTATGACAGTGACTGCATTTTTGCTGACAAACTTAACCAAAACCCAGATGCTGTTAATTTTTAGTTTTAACAGCAATAGAAATTTGCCTGAACTAAATATATAGCACTTGAAATTTGAGAACTGAATGTTGTGAAATAGGTAACCTGGAGTTAATGTGTGACTGTTGAGCTGAAAACAAAGTATACATTGAAAGCAATTTAGAAATCTAGATTCTTATATTCAATTAACCTGTAGCTAAGAGGGTTAGTGATGACAGTATTTTCATTGAAAATTGATTTCGTTTTGACTTTGAAGGTCACAAAGAAGGCAAGTATAACTTCTGTAGTGGCAGTCTTGGCCTGCTATGGGTTTGCACTACCAGTTATACACCCTTCAGTTTTCTTCTATAAAAGAAAATATAGAGGGAGAGGGTGCCATTAAAACTGGTAAACTAAGCAAAAGAAAATGATGGAACTTGAATCCTTGAAAAAACGAAACGATGGGTTTTTATTAGGATAATTTTCCAATGTTATTAGGGGCTTTGTTTAAATTGTACTCTGAATTATTCCATGTTCAGCAAATTTTACTTTGAATTATTACATGTTCAGCAAATAGGAAAATACAATACTAATTACAGCTCTCATCCTGTCATTGGTAATTAAAGTATTTTTGTTTGCTCAAGGAATTTTGAAACTTGCTGCCAGTTTCTTACTGTTATGTTGTTCCTTGCATCTTTCAAATGTCAAGTGTATGTCAGTAGCACCATCTAAATAGATAAAAGGATGAATGATATGCAGTTTTGAATTGTAGTTACCGTCATGTCAGCTAAGAATATCTGCTTTTGATGATTTTCAGTATAAGCGCTACCAAATGAACCCAGTAGTTCTGGCACATAAAATGTGAACAGTATAAAGTTCCCTGAACCTTTTTTTCAGTGAATTGCCAAAGTCATGCTTTTCAGGAGCTTAGTGAATTTAAAGCACTTTCAAGAAATATTCTGGGTTCACAGCAGCAAAGAGCTAATGCATCTTCTCAAAAAATACATTGGCTACTGTTATAGGTCAGCATTTGCCAACAGTTTCTGTGGGAGATGCCAGTTTGGAGTGGAAACTAAGAAATGGGTTGAGCGAAGCACTTTATCCTGTTCTTGGCGTAAAGCACATGAATAATCCCATTGACTACCCACGTGTGCTTTACTGGGACTGCTCACATAGTGAAAGTTAGGCGTGTGTTTAAATAACTTGCTTATTTGGGGGCTCACTGCATGATGTCTCCTGGCAGAGACTTGATTTTCTTATGGCAGCTGTCACATCACCTGTGTGCAGGGAGAACAATGCTGTCTGCACTAGCCATGCAGTCCAAAGCAAAAGCCTATTTCTGTGTCCACCCCCAGTCCGTCCTGCACTTTTCTGGCAACTAATTATCTGTTTGCTGCCAATTGTGCTCTAGTGTTTTTGGCGCCCAACCACTCCAACTTGCTGCTCATACAAGCATTGAATTGCCTTTGTAAGGCAGAGAGTAGTCTTTTCCTTGTTTAAGACTGTCTATGTGGTTGTTACAACATGAAAAAAAGTAGCTCATTGTTATAGTTTTCCTTGGTTCTGGTCAAATTGTGCTGTCTCTGTCAGTAATTCCGCTGAAGTTGATATTGATGCTAGCAGAAGAGAACCACTACTTCGAAGATCCAAGCTTAGTGGTGAGAGAAGCTAAATGGAGTTTTTTCCATCTATTGAGTATCTAATGGAAGCAGTGTTCTTTATTTGAGAATCCCTGTAAACAGATCATCTAGGGAAATGGAGCTCTTTCAGCATGGAGGGAGGGAGAAGTTAAATGCTGAGACAGGATCTTCTTCAACCTAATATTTTGTGACCATTATCTCTGCTTTGGTCCAAACTTATCCACCAGCAAAATAATACAACTTCAGGTTAAAAATACATTTATTAAATTTTCCACTTCTGCCTTCCTCTCCCATCACCTACATGCCCAAGGCAGCAGATGACCTTGGATGCAGCATTTTCCCATGCTTGAAAAGAGGCCAGTTACAGATGGGGAATTGCTGTGACCTGGGCACGGCAGGTCTCCAGCACCCTCTCCTTCTGCACATTTCTCCTCAAGAAATACCACTTCTGCAGCAAGTTAGCACAAACTTAGAGCCTGTGTATAAAAGCAAGTCACGCTAATAGGGAGGGCTACAGTTATAGTAGACAGTGATTAGTTTATGGGACCAGCAAGCCCAGTGTTATGGTTGGTAATCAGCGATGCTACTTCAAACTCAGGATCTCAAACTTTAAGCTTGCTTTACACTCATCACATCTGGTTTTCTGTTATTTAGCCTTTGCTAACAACCTCACCAGAAAAGCCTAGGAAATTCAGAACAAAAGGCTGTTAGTTGCAACTGAAAGGTTTAAATTAAATAGGTTTTCTCAGTAAATCTAGTAATCCTGGCTGGGAAAGTGCTGTTATCTTCAGAAGCATGTGTCAACAAATATTCTTTAATGTATAATCATCTCAAATGAAGTAGTCTTTTGTGGAGCTGTGTTCAGGATAGAGTGAATGGGATAAAATGTAATATGAACCAGATGAAAAATAATATAAGTAGATTTTTTCACGGGGGTGGAAACTTGAATGCTTTCACAAACAGGACAGAAGCCATCAAGTATTGCTCTAACAGGCTGCAACTTCATGTGTGAGGAAGGAAAACAAGTACTATTTTCATAGGTTAGTGTTTATGCCTTGAATATGCTTATGAGAGTCTTTAAGGTGCTGTGGATCCAGTATCATAATAATTATTAGACGTAAACACTGATGAGCTAAGGATTAAATTGTTTTAGAAGTGCATTAATAGGCTTTCACTTAGATAATGGTAAAGTATTTATGACTTAAGTAGGAAGCTTTTTCCAAGAAAATCTCATGCATTTTCAGTGGAATACTTGAATCTACAAAAATCCATATGAAACCAGCATAGTATCTAAATAGTTGATTCATCCTCTGTGTATAAATAAAATATTTAATACACACTTTCCTCACTTAAGGCATAGGACTGAAAAGCAAGGACCTGAGTTGATTTTCTAGCTCTGATTGAGACTTCTTGTACAGTTCTGGGAAATCACTTAGCATCTCTCTGTCTGCAAGCCAGACCCTGTAGTGTTTGTCTGCCTTGTTGAGGAAAGGGGTGACTGCAAAAGAAGTTAAGAATCTCCCATCAGAAGACAGAACAAATAGTTTGGTTTTGATGAAAGTGATCTGGAGTCATTGCACATATGTCTAATAGCTGCTGATTTATAAAAGTTAAATTATGAAGCTTTAATAAATGCACATTTCTTTAGACAGTGCTGTAGTATGTTACTAGCTGTGAATACTACATTGATTTCCTTCATATCTGCAAATTTTCCTCCTAAGATACGTAGTAGCAAGTGAAAATGTTCAGTTTCTCAAATGAAGATCAGTTCAAAGAAACATCTAAATGTTGAAAAATCTCTGTGACTCCCCTGGTTCCACAAAATTGATTTGGAAATTTTTCAAGGGCTGGCTTTCATCACTCTAAGCAATTGCCGAGAAACTTTTCATTCAGTGACATTCCTGTCCACTTGGATAGTTCTTCACCCAAGCCTGGGGAGTTATTTCTTGTGTATTATAGCAAGTGACAAGTTTTGAATGATATCTATTTGTTAGTGCCAGTCGTGGCATTTACATTGGAGACTAGAGGAACTATTGCTTACAAAGGAAGAGAATTTAAAATTCACATGCTAAAGGCAAACTGACGAGGCATTCAACTCAGTGGGAACAATAACATCTGCAAAGGTGGGGTGAGATTTAGGTACAGAGGAAAGACAACAAGAAGGATGAATCCATAGTTCTTTGAATGGTCTTTGATCCCCTGTTCTTTCCTTGATATGGTCATTAGTAGAGGAACTAGGTCTATGAGCAGTTTTATAATATGCCTGGGAGTGATCAGAGGTTGAATTTAGGCTCTTTTGGGGACATATGTGGATTCTAATGAATAATCTCATTTTCTGTTTTGTGTGTGTATATATATTATTAAAAACAGTCTTCACATTGCTAATAGTAATACTGTATGTTCACTGTCTTACATTATAAAACTTGACTCTCCCCATGGAAACCTCCAAGACTCTGAACAGCAACTGAAACATGCAGACATGTCCAGCTGTTAACTCTCACTTTTTTGCACTAGAACTGGAGATAATTGCTTTTCTTTCTGTTTAGCACTTTCAGACCATGTTAAAGACTAAGTTGAATGTCCTAACTCTTCGGAAAGAACCTCTTCCGACAGTGATTTTCCATGAACCAGAAGCCATTGAGCTGTGCACCACAACTCCCCTCATGAAGACCCGGAGTCACACTGGATGCAAGGTACTTGGGAGTATAATGTTAAGGGATAAGACCACTTGGAGATGTCCCATGGGCATGTGAGGGCTCTAAAGAACCCGAAGTAATCAACATGGTCCCTCTTGTTGTTCTGAAAACCCCATTAACTGCTACTAATACTACAAAGTTTCTAAATCAAAAAAGTTATTTGGTAATTCTGACCAGAAATTTTGGACTTCAGGGTAAAAAGGTTTGAGTTATGTGGCACAATGCAAATTATAGAGGGTTTCTAACAGCCTGCAATGAACATTGCTTGTTACAAACACTGCCATTGTTTTTATAAATGGTGGTGCTGAGATGGGAGATGAAGGCCAAATGCTCTGTATTTGCATTTAGCAACCTGTACTAACAGAGGTATATACCTACTGAAATAAGGTTGCAACTTAAAACTTGAGGTTAGTTTCATGTTTTTTGGTTTTTGTGGGTTTTTGTTTGCTTTTTTTTTTTTTTTTAAGAAAGAGAAAAAGGCATGGGAAGGAAACTTCGGCCTTGATTTGGTTAAGCAACGGTTTGAATTTGCCCAGTTACGTTACAGCACAGCTTCTGAAAAAGCTGCTCTTTAAAGTTTAATGGATTAAGAGCCTTGAGTATGTTCTTCTGTGGTAAGAAACCATATGAAAATAGCAAACAAATCTGCTTTGTTCGCATCTTTTCGTGGAGCCATTTTCCTTGTGGCAGAGCTCACTTAGCCTTGCAGAGCCGTGGGCAACCTTGCAGACTGAGCTGGGGCTTGGCAGCCAAGTCCTCTTCACCCAGCCCAGCTGTCAGTTGTAGGGGATATCCACCTGCCCTTGACAGTCTTAGTGAAAATGGAGAGGACTGGGCTTCAGCCTCCACTGCTCTGTAAAGTGTCAGCTCTAAAAGAGCAGTTGCCTTATGGTATGTGCACTGGAAAAGGTCCAAAGTGCAATTAAATGTCCTAACTCCCTCCCCTGCCAGTGTGTATACACACATGCCTGCATGTGCACTTTTCCTTGTTGGAAGATCTGATGTGAGTGAGATGGGGTTGAAGAAATTGATTCCTGGTGTGTTTCCCTGCTTCTCTTGGCATACTGTGCGGATAGCACGGACTGTGTGCATGCTGTGAAGGAAGGGCTTTGTTTGGGCACTTCCTCAGCAAAGATGCTTCTTGGGAAGTGTCATTTTTGTTTGAATTTTTGTGTGTCACAGTAGCCAAGAAACAGACTGCTGCTGGGTGTTGAAGCAGTTCTGCCCTGTGCTGACGCAGAGGAATGCAGGGCAAGTGACCCTAATATGCTTTGTATGGTAGCTCATATCATCTGCTCTTCCATGGTGATGTGTTTTGTCCTTTATGTTGGCACTTAATGAATTTTTAGAGAATATTAGCTATCATAAAAAAATGGATCACAAAGTAGCTGGTTTTCACCCCTAGTGAGAGTTCAGACATAATAATACTTTCTGAAATCAGTTTATCTCTGTGAATGTGTGTAGAATTTAAATGGATCTTTTTACTTAACCTACAGTTCTTCAACTGGAGAAGATGGATTGCAGAGAGATGTTGAGCCCCTCAGTGAAGAGAATCTTATTCTATATTTAGAGATCTCTTTTATTTATTCATTTATTTTTCCTGTGATGCAGCATAGTGGTGACTAGGAACATCTGCCGCCACCACGCTCCCCTTTTCCTGCTTGCACTGTTTCACTTTCTTCCCTTCCCCTGGTAGCTAGTTCACCCCTGCCAGTGCTGCAGTCTCACAGTGGTGTTTTTGGGGTGGTGGCCAACCCTCTTCAGATGATTCAGCAGTTGTGATATGCAGTGGGAAATGCCTTGGGAAGATAATTCTGCATGTATGTTGCTCCTCTGGCTAAGAAATCCTCTCTAGTCATTAAATGAAAAGCTCTGATTTTACCCAGTGTCTCTAGTTGCAGTTTCTTTCTTCCCCTTCCCCTCCCCTTTTTTATTTTTTCTTTATTAAAATATATTCTCTTATGGGGCCTGTATCCTCCAGCTGTTTATAAGTAATTAGCTGCCTTCTCCTCTTTTCCCTCTGCTTATTAGTTTCTTGCTGACTGATACAATAATAACATTACCATAACAAAGCCAGTATTTCATAATATGAGTTTTCACTTGGTGGGGTCTGATCTACACTGTTATTCCAGGTGTAAGGGAGGGGGAGATGCTGTGGTGTCACCCAGGCTGGTACCACTGAGCTTCTCTGGTTCTGAGACATGGGCTTTTCAGGCAAGAACACAGCATTCAGTTTTTTGCTTTGTTTCTTTCATGAGTCACACTCTTTTGATCCTTAATCGTTTTATTCCTCTTGACTGAAATCCCTTCAATTTTTCAATGTAATCCCATTAATGAGATAGCATCATTCTTCTGACAGAGGCTCCAGACATCTAATTTTATTGCACAGTTTTAACATAAGCCTCAGCTGGCACCATCTTGTTATGGGAATTTGACACATGCAATTGCTTTGCTGTTCAGATGTCTGGGCATTGTTTTTCTTATGCAATTGCTCTTTTCGTTTTCCTTCCACTGTGAGACAGGCTTCTCTTTGCTCTTTCATTTGGTGTTAGCTGCTGAATCCAAAGAAGCAAAACTTTGTTGCTGAGATCCAATCTCATTCTGCAATTGAATGGGGTTAAGAATAGCAGAGAAATGTCTTGCTTGAAGTAGTCTAGGGGGAAAGAAGCCCCACAAAATTTAGAAAGTTAAATAGTTGAGAAATTTGGAGAGCTTTTCTTTCCTGTCCAATTCCAGATCCAATGCAACTTTGTTACCATCATGTTTTCTAAAAATATATTTTTCCTTACAGCAGGACGCTAAAGGCTTGTTCCTTCTGTGCATCTACACCTGCCTGCTTGGGCTGGCTCTGCTGTCACTGTTCCCACCCTTCTAGACTTGTGGCCATGATTTCACTAAAAGGACAAATAGGCAATATTGGCACTAATTTGCAGCACAGAGCTTTAGGTGCACATGTTTTGGGGTTTGTGGTGCTGGTTTTGCAGTGAGACAGGGGTTGACTCAAAGGCTGTAGTTCCCAAAGGGCATCTTCTTGCCCCCCTTCCTCTCCTTTCCCCACCTGTCCTGTTTGTAAACAGGGAGCAACAGCCCTGCACTCTGGTGTTGCAGCCCCAGTCAGCAGACAGCTTAAAACAGAGCAGGATTTCTGGGTACAATAAAGCATTTGGACTCTGAGTTTTTCCTGGGGGGTAATTTTCTTTTGTCTGAGCCATGGTGTATGTTAGGTGAGAGCTAGGTCTCTGGCCCCAGAGAAACCAGAGTTTCTCATCCTCTTCCAGCTGAGACCACCGGAGCAGGGCAGTGGGATGCAGTGCCCAGAGGGTTGTCATCTCTGGCAGCCAGTTTAGCACCCACGTGCATCCTGCCTCTTCCCTGCAATGGGTGTGGCATTTATGAATGCTACAGCACCAAGTGTTAAAGTCAGTAGCTGCTCCGAAGAATGATAAAACCCAACTGGCTAATTGTATACTTGTGAATGGCAAGTATCAGCTTAAGCTAAACCACCCATTGCTGGGGAAGGACAAAAAAGAGTGAGAATAAGTCTTTTGTTCTTACTAGCTGGTTCCTAATTTGTTTTTATTTAAATAGAGCATGTTTCTGTATGAAGACATGACTGTGATTTATATGTGTGTATGTAGAAATGTGTTTATTCTTGTTTAGATCCTAGGGATTTTGATTAGACTGTGGCTGTCCTGCTTCTAGGTCTTTCATGTCAGATGTTGTGCACTCTTGTGTTTCAGCTGGAAACTCTCTTCCCTTATCACAACACTAAGAACAACCAGATGGAAACTGAAAATCTGGAGTATCTCCAAAAAAATAAGTTGCTCTCTACTCAGAAATGAGTGCTTTCTCTGTGCCTTTTAACAGATTTGGGTTAAGTTCTGTGTGTTTTATTCTTCCTTAGTGTCCTAATTGGTTTATACTGATTCTAATGTTTCTTGATTTCTGTCCCTTTGGGCTATGGTGGTGGCATGAAGAGAACTGCCTAAATGACTCTCCCTCTTCTGCTGTAGCTTTTCCAGCACTGCTGCAGTAACATGAAAGGACAGAGGTTAAAAATGCTGCCTGTGATTTTTGAAGTGGTGTCATAGGTTTAACTTCTCATTGAATTTTTTTTTTAATCTTTCTATTGGAAGGCTCTTCAAAGTGAAGTCAGTGCTGAATAATCAGTAGTTTGTTGTTATCCACCTGGGTTAGGCGATCTTATTCCTCCAGTTCCCACCAGTGGACAAGCTTTTCTCAGCAGCTGGAAGGCTGAGACGAGAGGAGAGTAAACACTGCAAGTAATTGCATTCTTAAGACTAAGCTTTTATTAAATGGGAAAATATATATTAATGATACAGTGTTTGCAGGCATGGTACTCATTGCTTGCCTGTCTTACTGGATTGAGATGGTGAGATTGTTAACTCAGGCTTTGTGGAAGGTATGATGTTGAAATTTCTGTGATAGTGTATCTTAGTTGAAGATTGGTGGAAGTCTTCTTTAGCAATTTGTATAAGTGACATTAGAGTGCTACTGGCATTTTAAAATCAAGCCTTGCCCACATTGATAGAGACTTAAAAAAATAGCCAAGAAATAGTATAAATGGAGCTTAGTCTTTCAGAATAGCTCACTTGCTTCACTCAAAATGAAAATTGTTCCTCTACTAACCTTGCTGCAGCGTGGTGTTTATGGTAGGGTTCATTTGTGGTCTGTACAGCAGGAAGGGGCCACAGCCATGGTTGGGCTTCCCTGGCACAGTGCAGTGTCAGCAGTTAAGCACAGAGCTTGACTATTGCAACTCTGGGACACACCTGATGTCATACTTGTGTCAACCTATTAACTGGATTTGAGGTGTTTTCTGGGAGATCTGGGCAGTGCCTGAGGGGCCTTAACCTGTGCAATGCCAAGGGGCTGCCCCTGCATTTCTGTAGCCTGCCCTCCAGTTGTAGGTCTGTGCCCTTTCACCAAAGCCTGTTCTTGTTGCTGCTTTTCTGGCCTTGCTGTCTTCTGGCAAG